AATAGCCCAGCCAGAACCCTATAACGAGTTGAAAATAATTAAGCCCTCCTCTTAAAACGGTACCCGGCACCGAGATGAACGTCATACCGCTCAGCGAGGTGCCTACCATACCAAAAGCAACGAGCCACCATTTACTATTGCGGTTGCCAATGAAAAAAGATTCATTATTGGAATGGCGGGAGGTATAAAAGGCAATGCCCAGCAATAAGCCGAAATAGGCGAGTATAATTGCCAGCAATATTTGTGAATTCATGCGTGAATGTAAAAACTAAAAAATAAATTGGGTACCTGATTATCAAATTACGGCTTTATTTCACCGATGGGTTCTTCTTACCGGCAGCCAGCTTTGTTACCGATTGCGCGATGCGGTTGCTCCTCGTTTTTTCCTGTTTGGCCGTAAGCACCCACAGTACATATTCTTTCTTGTTTGAAAAAGATAGTTGATCAAAGAACAACATTGCCTCCTCACTCATAGCCACGGCTGCCTTCATATCATCCGGCATGGTTACGGTGCGCGCTGCAACATCAATATAATTGCCATAACTGTTTTGAGCAATAGCGTCCAGGCTTGTCCCGGAAGGCCTGGTCAATGCTATTTCCCGAAGCCTTACTGCTGTCCAGGTATCATTGATGCCGGCAGATGCTACTATCCGTAATCCATATTGCGTCAAGCCCTGCCAGGAGCTCATGGCTTCCAGGTCGGTAGGGAGGCCGCTGGTTTTCCTGGGAAAGAGTACCCACAGCAAGGTTGTATCTGTCTTGTTCGCGTCAATGGCAGCCAGGTTATTATATAATTCTGTTGTATTCCGGGCAAATAGCAGGATCACATTATAAACCCCGTCTGCCTCATAAGCGCAGGTAACCCCATCGGGCAGCGGCCCCAGTATATCCATAGGATCGCCGGGGGCATTGATATATAAAAGGTGATGTCCCGGCTGTACCAGTAGCTTCCGAAGCAATAAATTTTCCATGATAGGCCACTTTTTTTTAACTGTCCCTATCCTTACCGCAACAATCATCCTATTGACCTCGCAGTAAGGAGCATAGCTCCGCGCCGCGGCAAAATTAACTTTTTAAAAAAAGAATAAACCACAGG